GCACCTTGACGGATAACCAAGGTCAAATATAAGGGTCTCTCAGGGTCATGTTTGAACGTGAAATTTCCCGCTTGTTTCATTAGCGAAGTCAAAAGTAGGAGCTTATATTTGAAATTTAATGGTAGACCTTCAAACAACCTTCACGGCCAAAATCAAGGTCGAATCCAAGACAACCTGCATGAACATATTCGGACTGTATTAAGCCATATTCGTTAGACGAAGCAATCAATAGATGTTGAAAATGGGGCTTACTTAACCTAAAATTCATCCCGTCTGACCATTACTGTACCATTTGTACAACGAGCATCGGCAAATTTATGACGTAGATAAGTCAAATCTATTCACCGGCGACCTGCCGTTACGGAAATCGACGGTAAACCAGTGGCGTAGCTATACGTTGATACAAGATAAGTATAGACCACCCCAAATATCTCAGAATCTAAGAGTGCTAGAAAAAATGTTGGATACAAAAGTTTTAGGAAATTGAGGGTTTTTGTGTGAAAAAATCATTTTGATCTTAAATTGCCCTTCATAGTCATCGCCAAAGTCAGAATGAAGGTCACGATCAGATGTACCTTTGCAATCTGCGCACCAATAGCTCTCCTTTAATAACCATCTGTGTCCAGCTATCCGCTGCTTCACAACATTCCATAAAAGAGCAATAGGTGGCCTTGAAAGAACCTCCAATCTGAGAAAAAAACTGGCGCTTGAAATGACCTTCAAGGTGAATGTGCCCGTTTAAAATAAGGTCATCACTAGATGCGCCATTTGATTTCTTAAAATTCTTGTATTCAAAGTTTTTTCTACCACCCCTAGGTTCCAAGATATTTGGGTGAGTCCATACTTTTGGGAGATCCTATGTATCCATGTATAAATAACATTATATAATTATACAAAGATATATGACTATACAAGTTACGTATTGACTTGCAAAATGTCGTATTCGTCACAAGTATATGCAGAAATACGCTTAACGTAGATGCTGAAGACGAAGTACTACAGGTTATTGGAGATGAGCTCTCTAGTAGTTGGTGCCATATTTTACAGAAGCTCTAGATTGAATTTTGCGTAGAGAGCTGCGAGTACATTTTCCAAAAGACTACCGAAAGAGAGTCTAATTTTGCCAGAAGAATATTCCAACAATTCAGAAATAACCTGCAACTTAGCAAAAAAAGTATTATTGATGGAGAAAGCAGGCGTTTAGAAATTGTACCACTTAGCTACGACATACAGTAAAACCCTACATTTCTACATTCAAGCTAAAAATATATGAACAATATGTGTGAATTATATCTAACAGCTGCGTAATGTTTCTGGGGTCTGACACATCTTAAGCATAGCAAGTGTTTATCTCTTATCATAGATGCAATCTTTGTTTCTAGACAACTAGGGTAGGTAGATCGGGTTCAGTTGATACTATTCTAGGACGCAAAATCACTTTAAATTTACTTACGATACTGAAAAACAAAAGCTTTTTCAAATAATCATAATGTCACTGCTGGAATTCCCGAATTGTCGTAAAATATATTCCTTCATTCAAGGCGAGTCAATTTACTGGTGTCGTCAAGCAGTCGCACTGGACAGATTTGTAGCGGTGAACTAAGTACTCAATCAATTGACTTGATGTGAAATTCCTAGAGCTTAAACGTCTGTAGAACCAGCATATTGGGAGATTAGAAGCGTCTTAAAAATAGAATATCTTTCATCGATACCAAAGATGCATTCATAATATATAATAATAATGTATTCTCGTCCTTGGCATAGTAGTAACATTTTTCAAAATTTTATCAAAATTCGAGCTATACAGGGTGTCCGCAAAGTTGGGGTTTTCCTTTTCAGAAACAACTACCCTTGAAATAACAAAGGTAATGTGTAGTGAAACGAGGGCGATCAAGTTAAAAAAAAATAAAGGAAACAGTACTCACTCTCCAGTTGACGAGAAGGGCTAAGTACGTCTCTGCCCGAAATCATACCGCTCCAACAGAAAATGAAATCAGCTGATGCGCTACCGAGCAGACGCAGGCAAACAAGGAAGGCAAAATGTTGCGTAAAAAGTCTAGGTATTGCATCCCATCCAATCGATTTGGGAGAATAAATGGTCCAATGAGCATACCGTTCACCATGCCAGCCCAAACATTCACCGAAAGTGTTTGTTGAAAATGTGCCTGACGGACAGCGTGCGGATTTTCTACTGACCAAACATGAGTGTTGCGAAAGTTATTCACCCCATTACGCGCGAACGTAGATTCGTCTGTCACCAATATGCACTTCGAAAAGTCCATGTTGATGCAACAACCACTCACAAAACCGCACTCTTGCTGGAAAATCGTCAGGTTGAAGGGCTTGTACACGTTGGACGTGAAACGGACACAGCCCCTCTTCACGCAGCGTTTGCCACACTTTAGTTTTTGATACTTGCACTTCTCTAGCCACGTCTCTAGTGCTTGTTGTTTTTTGAAACGCAATCGATTATACGGGTTCGTTTACCTCTACACGCGTGACCGTAACCGTCGGTTGAAGGTTGCATACTGACCTGATACACTGACCCCGACCCAGTTCTGTCGTCGGGTTGAGCTAGTGTCCTAGTACCAATTGGTAATGTCGCGAGTCGCGGCTACAGAACGGTATTCAGATATTTTTGATGTTGCAGAGCCCTTTATCTCTGTTCCCTTAAGACATTGGTGTATATGGTACTAAGAAAAATTGCTCATGTTTTCAAGATCTACACGTCGTGTAAAGGAAAACCCCAACTTTGCGGACACCCTGTATATTCCGAGGATCAGTGGACAGATCGACAGAAATATTTGAAATTATTTGCGATCGCAATGCTTTCTCATCAATTGACGTGTGGAGTAATATTTAATGTTTAAGCTGGGTCTCACATAGGGGGCATTGAATGAAATGCTGATGGTTACACTGTGCGCATGGAATGTCCATATGATTAAAATTTGTCGTAGACGTGTAGCGATGAACAATCAATTGGCGTGATTTGAAATTCCCATCTGTATATTGAACAGTAGTATTATCGAGATCAGAAACTTCTTAACAGTATAATTTTTTTCACCCATACTAAAGGTGCAGCTACAAAAAAATTTTTTCAGAAATGAGAAGGAGTCTCTGAAATGTCAAAGAACGAAGCTTGAGCGATTTTGTTATTTTCTGCTTTCGCTCCTAGCTTTGTCGCCACTGGGAAAATTTTCCAAATCTACAAAGTTCCTTGGCATAGTACGAGTAGTAACCTTTTTTCAAAATTTCATCAAAATATGAGGGATACATTATTATTTTCTGCTTTCGCTCCTAGCTTTGTCGCCACTGGGAAAATTTTCCAAATCTACAAAGTTCCTTGGCATAGTACGAGTAGTAACCTTTTTTCAAAATTTCATCAAAATATGAGGGATACATTCAAAGTTATACATGAGCCTAGGATCAGTGGACAGACAGACACTCCCATGGAACTGAGTGAAATTATGTGGGATACCGAAGATTGGACTTAGATATACAGGGTGACTTCGAAGTTGAGTTATTTATTTTAACAGTAAGTAGATCTGATCAAAAGAAATGTTTTTTTCCTTTACCATTTTTCTGGTAAAATTAAAGTAACAAAGTTATAGCCCTTTGGAAGTTTGAGTAGCGCCCTGTCTCAATAATAATATTATGTGCTCGTGTTTGGCGACAACGGATATAATCCGCCGTATCGCTTCATTGCATCGGAAACAAAAAAGCGAAAGAATTTGGAACGATGTTTTTACAATTATTTTATTCATTTGTATACAGTCAGTGTCAGTGAATAGTAGTGTCTGTTGCGTGGCTCAAACGAAATAAAAAATGGCACATGTTTATGCGGATCGGTTTCCCAATCGAGTGCAACCAACCCCTCGTGCCTTTGTTAATGTAGTACAACGGGCTCGTGAATCAGGTGACTTAAGACCACACAGGGGACTGCATGCCAGTGCTCCAAGACCTCACGATCAAATACAGGTCCGCAGTGAAATACTTGTCGGGAGGATACTTTATAAAACAATGTAAACTTTTTTTTTAATTTTTTTTTTATTTTTACACACATATTTTGGTTTATCTTCCTTCTACAATGATTATATCGAACGAAATCCAAAAAAATATTTGTAGTTACTTAAATTATCGCTCTGCCGCTGTTATTTCGCGATTACGCATACTGCTATCCTCGCGAAACATGCATATGGTGCCCGCCACTGCACATTATACAGGAGGATATCGACAGAAACAGTGCAATAATAACAGAAATTTATTTGTTTGCGTTGATATACGCGGGCGTTTGCAGCCATTGCAGGCACGTCCATTCACGATTATGGTGCAAATTTATAACACGCTCTGCCGTCCTGGCCGTTCAGTGTTCGGTTCAGGCTTTTTGATAACACTCATCGATATGCCTGTTTACATTTGTCCTTATTACTTCACTGCCTGGCAAATCGCGATATCACGCACGACACCATCCATATAAATTACGGAAAAATGCAGTGCGTTCATGTGAAATGCACATTAACGCCTTGGAGGAGCTGCAACTGCAAATTCATCCATCTGAGACGAATCGTACGTGAAGGTCTTTAACCCCTCAAGACTAGTCATGCCACCATGGCAATTTACTATAGTAATACGGTCAGTATTTACTATGGTTCCAGTATTAATTTTCCCAATTGTAGGATTAGAGTCACCTTCCATAGCTTTCAGCAACTTTCTTTCCCAATCTAACAAAATGATTGCTTTATTACCAGTTTTTCTTCAATCTTGATTTGATGTTGTTGATTTGTTTTAATAAGCGTTTAATATCCAATGGCTTACCGGATGTTGATTCGTATTTTTTCAACATCTTCTTGTAAAATAATGGGAGCAATGGCAATTTCATCAGCGATGCCATTATTTTCTATAGTTTCCTCATCACTTGAGGATGACATGCTTATTAATTTGATAAAAAACTGTATCCAGTAAAAATACGGAATGGTCTGTGTAAGCTCTGGAGTAGAACTGTCAGTGATGCTGAGTGAAAGAACTCCCACGTCAACTACAAGCTAGAACAAGTCAGGACATGTCGCTCAAGATACAAATACCAGTCAACCTTTTACTTCTTCTTGGGGGGTATCCTTGCGAGTATAAGTTAATCATTATGAATATGAAAACAAGGATATGCTTATACATCTACCTTTTTCTCCGAAGCAAGACCTTACACTTTTATTATTTTATTTGAATTATGATGCAAATGTTCCGAATACCTACAAAAAGTGTCATTAACAGTTCGATAGACCGGGTAGAATTGTTGTCACACCCTAGTAACAGTCTAGTCATATCAGAAAATTTCCCCGAAACAATTGTAAATCAAAAACTTCTTATTTGACAGCAACGAATGAGAAAAAGTGGTTTTTGGGATTCAATCGAAAGTGTTCACAGGATTTTTTGGTATTCGCGAAGCCTAAAAAATGAAACCACACCTAAAAAGTTCAGACTAATAGCAATAATGTTATAGCCGCAAACCTAGTCACAATGCAGGTTTTGGTACCTGTTGGTAATGCGACGATAATTTCACTTGAAATTCTTGATATCTGTAGAGGTCATAGCTCTAAATAACCACAACAAAATTGGAGTACATTAATCAGTAGTTTTTGAGAATTCCTAATTACCCAGTTTATCCCAAAACACCTGTTTTCCGACCATCACTACTAGTTTATTGAGCAATTTACAGGGTTTCTTCAAATGGCATTTTATAGCAAAATACACGAGTTTACCTTGCCGATATGGATCGTCAACCATTCCGAAAGATAAGTACTATTTGTATGCAAAAAACAAAGGTATACGCTTTTTTCTTCTAAACATTTCGTATTTGTGAGTAATTGAACAGATCCGCTACAATATATGACAAGCATACATTATTACACACCTTTTAAACCAAACCGGATGTGTCTATCACCTATTGTTGCGAAGAAAAGAAATTTGTTTCAAGATTTCTTCATACTCTTTTGTACACGTGCTTAGAGCTGAAATGTTTACACAGTAAGATATGATCCTTACAGCTTATAAAAAAAATATTTCATACTGAAATACACTGAACTGCTCATACAGTCAGTACGCAAACCGAAGACACAATTATGTTTCGAAGTGTCGTAACCTAGTTAGTATGCAGCTTGCGCTAAATGGCTACATTATCCATGACTTTGTCAGATCACTAGGGCACGAAGTCCAGTTTCTTTTCGAAGACATATAATTCCCAGGATCTTTTTCCTAAAAGTATGTGGTATGGTTAGAGAGACCTTCTCAGAAGAACTACCTATACCTGCTGTCTTATCTCAATAGTACCTAAAAGTATAATCTCTGATGAACGATGCTTGTTTATCAGGTGATCTTTTAGAAAAATCCACCTACGGGGTCTGTAAATAAATTAAGTGTTCAGACTGGCAACGTCGCGTTCGATCTGGCAACGTTGAAGCGCCGGGCCTGGAGAAGCGACAGGGGAACATGTGATCTGCCTTCAGTACTAGTTTGAACTCGCTCGAGTCATTTAAAAAATTTACATAACCGTGGCTGATACCATTCTCCTGCGAAGCACGTTGGTATAAAAATAAGCTGAACCGAGCATATCTGGTTGTATCCGCACCATTATACACCAAATATCCAATACTAATCGGAGGGTATCAAATTATCCGAACAATATCTGCAAAGGCGGGCAGGCGGGGTCGTTGGTGCAATTTGATTGCAAATATGAGGACGAGGGCATAATAGGAAAAGTTGCACTTTGTGTTGTTCGAAGCAGCGCCGCAACTTTAAAATAATCCGGAACTTTGTGACTAATGCAGTTTCCCGACCTGTCTGAAGCAAAGTATACCGAATACTGATAGTAGGGTCACGCGCAGGTGGCCGTGTTTTATCAGCAGAAAATCCCCACTTCAGTTGAAGAGAGATCTTTGTGTAAAGAACATTTGATTTCCTACAATAGTTTTTTAAACATTGTTAATGGAAAAAATAGTGTCCAGTAGGTTAACTTACCACGCAAAGCAGTCTTCAATCCGTGAAGGATAATATCCAGCGGAAGCTAAATCCTCTGAGAAAAAGGTTAGTTGTATAGTTGCATATCAGAGAAATTAACAGGATCAAGTCGCTCTAACAGACATTCTACAAGTTCGCAGACATTCTTTCCTTGCCCTACCGATAAAACACTCCATCTGGCAACGTCGCCCCGTACCTGATCGCACAACGCGGCACAGACTGGCACGCCTGCCGGCGAACGTAAGAGCAGAAGCAGACTCGCTTAGCGAAAACACTTATTTTTCGTTATAAGGCACGTAGAATTACCGAGGCTGGGAGCGTATTATTGTACTGATATCAAAAAATTGCCAAAAAGTAGACAGAACGATGGATTTGATAGAAATGTAACCTATTTTTGCAACCTTACTTGGAAACCTCCAAAGTTTTAGGTTAACCCCATTGAATCTTAGATACAGAAAGAAAAACAAACCGAGCACATTCTCGTTTGCTGATGCTACTGATTATTTATTTATTTGTTTAACATCAAACAGAGAAAATCTACAAAATCGACATCCGCAGTATTGTTATACATACTAAGTTGTAAGCGCAGTTATTTATAATCGTAATTTATGAAGATATACTAAGTTATACAGTTTAAATGGTTTTATTTTAATAAAAGTTGTTGAATGTATTTATCTTACTGTAAATAACAAGTGAAAAAATTTTCAGCCTTAACAGGTGGACATTCCGGTTCTTATACTGCTTTTTTTAAATTCACTAACGCTCTAAAAATGAATATTTCAGCCGCAGTAAAGAATCAACGTTGGCGGATTTTGGTTCTTGACATCCTTTACGATCGGTTACGATACCTAGAGTACGGAGACCTGTACGATTTCGTCAACTTAGTGAGTTTGATAGGGGCCGTATAGTGGGACTTCGGGAAGCTGGACTTTCTTTTCGGGCAATTGCAGTTAGAGTGCAAAGAAGTGTAGACACTGTGGTTAAGTGTTGTCAGGCATGGCTTCGAGAAGGCCGTACGCAAAGAGCAAGGGGCACTGGACGCCGCCGTAGAACAACAGACCGTGAAGATCGCCGCCTAAGATTATTGGCCTTAAGAGACCGTTTCTCCACTACCAGGTCCATTGCAAATGAATGGTTTGCAGAACACGGAAGACCTATTGGCATGCGAAGTGTTTACCGACGAATGAGAAGTTTTGGCTTGTTTTCATACCGGCCACACTGGGTCCTCCCTTTAACTCGAGAACACCGACGTAATCGCCTTGAGTGGTGCAGACAACGGTCACTCTGGGATCAGGAATGGAACAGTATTGTCTTTAGTGACGAGTCTCGATTTTGTTTAGGCATGCACGATGGTCGTGCCAGGGTTAGAAGGCGACGTGGTGAAAGGGGGAATCCACAGTTTTTTGTTGAAAGACATGTTAATCACACTGTTGGAGTTATGGTTTGGGGTGCTATAGCTTATGGTTCCAGGTCACCTTTAATCTTCATCAGAGGTAACATGAACGCGCAGCGTTATATCCACGAAGTTCTAGAACCCCATCTTTTACCCTATCTTGACACCCTGGCAGATCCAACGTTCCAACAAGATAATGCCCGACCACATGTTGCAAGAGTCACAATAGACTTCTTTCAACATAATGATGCCACATTGTTACCATGGCCACCAAGATCTCCCGACTTATCCCCAATTGAGCACGTGTGGGATATGATGGGTAGGAGATTGCTCAATTTGCAACGTCCTCCTCAGACTCTAGAAGCACTTCGAGAGGAGTTGGTGGTTGCCTGGAATGAGATACCACAGGAGGACATTGACCACCTGATCAGAAGCATGCCTAGGCGCGTTGGAGAATGCGTAGCACATCAGGGTGTATCCACACATTATTAAAGGTCAAAGGGCTTTAAAGCAGTGCAATCGTTTTGAAATTTTTATCATTTACTTATTATGCTTCATTAGGTACTTATACAAAATTTTATTAAAATAAAACCATTTAAACTGGGTGTTCGGATTTATATGTCACTTAGTATACAAAGGTATAATATTCAATTCGGTAACAGAAACGTAAAAAAAGAAACGTAAAAAA